TTGCCCGAAGTGTTTGGTGAAATAAGAAAAAAGAACCACCGTCGCAAAATAATTCTTCATCACGATAATGCGAGCTCTCACACATCTTTTCAAACTACTCGATTTTTGACCGGTCAAAACATCGAACTGATGGGTCATCCACCGTACAGTCCTGACCTGGCACCCAATGACTTTTTTTTGTTCCCAAGCGTGAAGAAAAAACTACGTAGTCAACGATTTTCGACACCAGAAGAAGCAGTTGAAGCGTTCAAAACACACGTTTTGGAGATATCAGTTTCGGAGTGGCACGAATGCTATGACAAATGGTTTCATCGAATGCAAAAGTGTATCGATCATCTCGGGGAATATTTTGAAAAACAATAAAACCATTTTCGACAAAAAACAACTGTGTTATATATGTTTTTAAAAAAAATTATGGAGCAACCCTCGTATTACGTTTGCTGTTATTATTATTCGTCGTTTCCTATTCTGTTTTTGTTACACCATTAAATCGTTTGGTTGACCATTTCGTTTCTACACGTTTTCAGTTGAAAGGAGAGATCAATATTGAATTTTCATCAAATTGCCTGTGTGTTTACATCATTCAGCATCGATGTATGTTCAATGTCCACGTCCATACATAAAATGTGGTGGCATTTATATAATAAGGCCTATATGACATTCACTTTTCTCTCTCCTCTCTAGATTTCTCTCACTTACATCAATCATATCATGTACTTTCTATTTTTATTTTTCTGTGCAGTTTTACTATTGGAATAAATTGAACGAATAGAATATTTATGTAAATCTAGCTAAAACATATGTGTATCGAGCGACACAAAAAATTAAACACAAAACACCAACAAATACAAACAGAACATAGACGTACGCAACAAGAACGAGCATAGCGAGTGCTTTAAGCGTTTAAAAGCTTGCATGTAGCAATCGTTCTACGAGTAAAAATAAAAAATGAACAGAATGTGTATAAAATATATCACGCAGCATAGTTTGCCCAGCAAACGGGATATGGGTACGTCGGTTCGAGTGTTTTTTTTTTCAGTGGGATAATATAAATGGTAAAGGTATCAAGGAGCGTTTATCGTATAGAATGGCTATGTTGACATACGTGGCATATTGTAAAATACGTGTTTGTTTTTATGTTTTTTCATCTCACTCTCCCTCACTCTCTCTATATCTCTATGCGTCGCTTTGCAGATACATTTTACTGCCACCAAATCCTCAATCGAGTAAACATATACAGAGATTCCATGATATATAAATATATTTACTTTTGCTCGCATAACGAAATACACATTGTTCTTATTTTACATTTTATGCACACACATATACGCGCGCGCTCGTTCTCCACTTGTCATTTGACGCGAACGCATTGAGTAAGAGAAAAAAAAACTGTGTGAGGATTTGAGTTATTATTATTTTTTTACATAGTCATTCGTTCGTTGTTTTGATTTGATTGAGTCGGGAGAGGAAAATGGCATAATTTCGCTGAGATGATTTATCGATTGTTTTCATTATTCGTGAGGTTGATTTGTTGTTTTCTTGTTTTTTTTTTTGCATTTGTACTCAATCAAAACATTTGAATATGATTTCTCGCGTGTTTTTTTTACATTTGCATCAAACAAGGAGTGACGATGGCTTCGATTCATGCTAAAATCCAGGGTACAGAACGGCCAATGGGATCATTATTTTTGTGGTTTTGTTTTTCACTATTAATAAAAATAAAAACTCAATTCCCGAGAAACATTTGCAAAAGTAATCTCATGATTTTGTATCAAGTGCATTGCTGTTGAATTATTATGATTAGTATTTGTTTGCGGTGTATTGGTCGGCGGGGTGGTTTTTTAGTTTATGTATACATTATTTTCATGTAGTATTTTCACATTTTGAATGGTGTATGTTGTTAACACATAAAATTCATTTCGTTATATATTTGACGTAAATCATTAAATCACGTTACATCTGCTCGCGTGGCACCTAACGATAACGGCATTATTGATCGTAAATTAATTTCACCTGAACATGATATTTTCCATTATTCCGCTCAACTAATGTCTGCTTTCGTTGCCTTCAAGTTATCGAAACACAGCGATAAATTTTATCGGAATATTGATTCCGTTTGGAATATAATATAAAAATCGATAACAAATGTACGAGAAAGAAAGTGATATTGACGGAGAGATAGAAAAATGAAGAGATGACGAAAACGATGAAAAATTAATATAATGAGTGAAGTATAAAGTGGTAATTTGAAAATTTACGTCAATTTTTCACGGATGTATCGAAATATCTCATTAAATTGTAATTTCACCTCTTCTAAACATTATCATTTAAAATCCAAACGTGACAATGACATCAAAATAACTAGAATTTTTTTTTTATTTAGAGCATTCATTTGGTTATCAGAATCTTTGCCATTTTACATTCATCAGCGTCAAACCAACGACATTTGATACTATTACCAACAAAAAAAATAATTAATTGTGATCTGATTTGATACGAATATACTTGTTTAGTTTTTTGTGTGTTGTGTGAATCATTTTTTTTTTTGTTATTCTTGAAATCTATCTTGTTGCGTCGTACTCATTTTCTAAGAATGTGACCGAGATGTAAACACAAGTAAGAAAGAAAAACAATGGTGCAAAAGAAGTACAATAAAAAATGTAAGCAAATAAACAGAACTGTACGTGCAAATATTTGTAATCGTGTAATTCAATCAATCCACTTTAGTGTGCTCGGTACTGTCTGCCATTTTATTACTTTTCTAAGCAATGGATAAGTAAGATGTGATTCGATGTGCGAGAGAGATCGAGAAAGAGAGTGAGCAATAGTGTATGTATGTATTTTTGTGTGCGTTGTAACTTTCTAACAATATTTATTAAAGCGAATTACGTGTCCACTCAGCAGAAGTAGCAACATAATGATTGCATCGTTTCGTAAGTATCATTGCTACTGTTTTTCTTTTGTCTTCTTTTGTTCTTGTTCTACAGAATGTTTTTTTTACAATGTCTGACAATTATTTAATAGCTCACGCAATGTGATACGTCTCTACTATACATTTGTTATTTTGCGTCCTTTAATATAAAAAAAAATTGTTTAGTTCCAGATCTGTTTAGACATTGGTACATTATTTATGTATTCTCTTCTGTCGCATACTTCTTTTTTAACAGATTAAAAGCAAACCCAGACCATATCGATCGCTCAGAGTTTGTATCATTCATTCTGTTGTGTATTGAAAGTTTTGTGTGTAAAAATGGTATGGTGTTCTCTCAATTTTACATAATTTATTGGAAATGAACCCCTCAATAAACTGCTGCACGCAATCGAAACGAAATATTTTTTATTTCGATATTTAAATATCCGTACGATGGAAACAAAGAAGCAATTTTCGAAATGATCCATAAAATTTAAATGTGAATTTTATGTGTGATAAAGCCTATCGCCTTTTCCGCCCCGCCTTTGCTTATTATTCGCATAAGAAAAAAACTTTAAATGTTTATTTCAATTTTATATTTTGCTTGGGTCAATGGGGATTATGAAAGAATGAGAATGAGTGAACTTATGTTTCAGATCAACGTCAATTGATGTAAAATTTTCGTTTCGCCCAACAAATAGTGATAGAATTGCTTTTCGTACCACCATCAAATCGATAAAAAAACGCATACAAAGAGAATCTTTGAAGAAAAAAACTGACACACATTGAAGACAGTTTTTTTTAGGTTCCAAAAAGTAGCAAAAGCCGTATACATAAAAACGATACGTGAATTGTGTAATCGTAGCCGATTTCATCTCTATCACATCGAAATGTTTGCAGCACTAAAAAAAACACAGACGAAGAAGAATGAATGTGTGCGCAGAGAAAAATGGTGCAAAAGGAATAGTCAACGGAAAAGCCGTGCAAAAGTCGACAATGAGGGAAATATCAATCAAAAAAACGGATAAAAGAAAATGAATATGGTGAATTCGCTTCGTCTTCTTCTGATAGATCATCACTCTTCGAAATTCAGTATGAGAAAAAAAAATTCGCAATTTCTCTCGCTCGCTCTCTGTTTGAAATAGTTTTCGTTTTAACATTGCGATTGATAACATCCATTTTGGAAAGCAACATGAAAGATTCAATGTCGATTTGATCAATACATTACATTTTGAGCCAGGGTTTTTTTTCATCTCTTTTCACATTCTATCATCAATGCTATCTGTATTTTTTTTTCACCATCGACATATAAAAATTCGCTCTGTTTCCAGTTTGGCTTGGCGTACTCAATCTTCTTTTCAGTTCTCATGAAAAGTGGTATTTTGTTTGCATTGATATTCAATTACAATTACTTCCGAGCAGTTTCTCTTCACCAAATGGTCTGATTGAGTGTTTGGTGTTTGTGACATGTTTCAACCACATACAACCGTTTGGACCATCGACGGTGTATTTTTTTTTGTTGGTCAAATGGCGTTAAATTGTGATTCAATAGGTAATGACAAAGGGACGTAGTGACATGTATACAGGTACCTCAATAAAAGAATTTATTTGGTTGTAGTGTTTTTGGAACCTTTTTTACTCTTCTTTCCCCGACCAAAAAAAAAATCCAATTTCAACGACGCCGAATGTGTATTCAAATTGTTGTACAATTTACTGAATTCGATGTAACATAAATAACCGAATATCCAATGAACGATCTCCACTTTGATTATACATAAATCAGCGTGCACGGATGTATTGTGATTGAATTTATATTGCACACGTGCAATTTCTTTCGTATTTAACCATTTTATTCGTTTGTGATTTTCATCGTCGCGTTCATACTCGCAATTCTTTCGTCACGGTCGCACCGAAACGAAATCGTATACGAGAAAATTAAAAAGAAAAACAAACAAATGGAAACCAGTTCTACATACCCTCGAATTAAAAATGCATTTGTCTTCCAAAGTTTGTTGGCGTATGTTGGTTGTTTTTTTTTTCTCTCTTGTTCTTTCATTTGTTTGAAGTGGATAATAAAAAGTAAACTTACCATAGCTGTTGTTGTTGTTGGCATGTGACTTCGACGAATAATTGTTATTGCCGATCGACGTAAAGAAGTTGGCTGCACCTGTTCGTCTTAGGATCCAAAACATCTTGTGCGGCAATTATCTGAATTTCTTAGATTCGTTTGGCAATTCGTATACTGTACTCTCTATCTCGACGCACAAGTATCAAGAAAGTTTTAAGTTCAATGCGGTATAAAAGTTTCTTTTCACGGTGTTTGAGTCAAAAAGTTTCGCGTTTCGCAGAAGAAAAAAAAACAATGCGATTGTTGGTTTGCATTCGTTCAAAAGCCAGATATTCACGGCAATTTATTTTTTACCCGTTTGAACAGTGATTTAAATTGCTTTTCGATCCGGCCAGGGAAAATAACTTTTTAACGAATGGACAGTTTTAAATTTTCTTTTTAATCATTTTAATTCGGTGAATGTTCAAATTCACTTTGAAAGTCACTTTGTCACACAATTATGTTTTTTGATAACACGGTGAGTTCTTTATCGCAACATTTATATTTGCTGCGATCAAATGTATACTATTATACGCGTTTGAAATGGTTATGGGTTGCTTAAACGATTAGTTTAAACAGACAAAATGAATATTCTAATTTCCGTTGCGAATAACGAAATAAAAGCCCCAAAGGAATGTTTAAAAGTAAATTTGGGTGTTGTTTATCTGCTGTTTAGCTCTCGCTTTCTTTTTTCAACTTAAAATTCCATAACTCTACTTATCTTTTCGAAACGCATGCAATTGTTCACCTTTCGTTTTGTTCTATAGACAGACGACGGTGTTTTTGCCACTTTTTCACTTTTTGTTCGTAACACAAAGTTTTTTTTTCTTCTTTTATTGTTTTAATTACTCATAAAATCCTTTTCTATTTTCAAGTGGATGATGGTGATATGTGTATGTGAATAACAACTATTAAACGCGTGTGAAATGTAATGCTGTCACAAATTCTATTTCGGTTGAACGCGTCTTTGCTAGAAAAATGCGGAACAAATCATCAAAAGCACTTTCAAATAGTGCTAAGAACACAACACAATGGCAAATAAAATGAAAGAAAAAAAATGAACTAAGCAACAACGGATTGGCAATTAACAAAACGCTTAGCGTTGCTCTGAGACCGATTGTATTTCACAAATTCGGAAGGGAAAATTTTCACACGAGCAACTCACACAACGATGTGAATGAATCGCTTCGAACGATATGTTGTGTGATACAGAGAATTAAAGCTTTTTTGGAAATAAGTTGTTGCGCAACAGATAGCAATGTGCGGCCGTTCTCGTCAACAGTTCACAGCAAACTAAGGCATAAGCAGCGATGCAGGCGTTTTACAAATATATTTGTGTACGCACAGCAAATCGGAGAGCTAGAATGAGTGCGCGCTACCAACCTGAGTCTCTCTATACAAGGAGGATAGCTTGTACGCTATGTGCACCGTTGTTTAACTCAATTCAACGAAATATATGTGAAAGCAGAGAGCAAATTTTCGATAGCTTTGGTAAGCGCTCTATGTGGTTGGATTAAATTTCTTGTGAGTTGATTTTATTTCAGCTTTTGTTCCAGTTTTTTTTTTTTTTTTCGTTCTGTCGTGCGAAATTCTTGTGCATGTTTCCAGTATTTGGCCACGATATTTTATTTTCGTTGTGACATTGTTCTCACTCGTACACCGTTGGTACTTTAATTCTTCTCTTTTATTTCGTATCATCGAATCCAAGTGTGAACTCAGTGAGCAATGAGCTCCGCGATGCTTTCAATTTCTCTATCTTGATGACTTAATGTAAACTGTAGGTTTCTATCTATTATGTGCATAAAACGAAATGGAATTTATTTCTTGCATCAAGAGCAAAATTGCCATGTGAAAAATGAAACGAATTAAAATAAAGGCAATGGTAGAGATAATGGCGATAGGAAAAGTATCAAAATTTTCAAAACGGCAAAGGAAGGAAAAAAAATAAACAAAATAAAATCCGCAGTAGAAAGGAAAAGAAATTGCAGAATTTCAGGCGTTTCATCGCCGAACAAAGGCACTTATTTTTGTTCTCGATCTTTCACAATTTTTCGTGGATGCTTCGTCGGAATTTTATAAAACAGCAGCAGACAGCAATGGGACACAAAATTGCCGTAATTTTTCTCGTTGTTTGTTCGTCTTATCAGCTCGTACCATCGATGTGTGTGTGTGTGTGTGTGTTTGGTTAGCGCTTCCTCTCTCTCTTTCTCTCTCCTCCAAACATGAATAAGAAATTCATAGCACTCATGCCGACGGTCATAAAAGAGTGAAAAAATTGCTGCACAACAGAAGCCACGTCATTTTCATTGTTTTAAGCCATTTAGTGTCAACCATACTATTTTGATTGTTGTTCTGTGGTGGAAATAATGCAAAAAAAAAAATCCTACCTACTCAAAAAGTGACGCAAAAAGAAACGATAGCGCACATAATTAATATATTCAAATATGAGAGTTGACACCGGTGACACAGGTAACGATGTGTCTTAAACGTGGCCAAGCGGAGTCAACTAAATATTTTTGCCTACTGCATCGATTTTTGAGCAAGCACAGGCAAACTAACAAGCGAAATATATACTTTTTTCTGCGTATACTTGCTGGAAACCACCGAAACTCGCACATCGCGTCATTCAAATTGTAATGCTAATTTTTTGCCACAATCCTGTGGCGTTGTAATAAATTTGCGCGTGCACAAGATTATCTATATGTTTTTGGAAAGTTTGTGATATGTGCTAAAACACATTCATTTTGCTGGACGAAAATGTTTGGCATGATATGTGTAAGTTTATGGACGAGCATGGTAGTTGTTCCCATTTCACAACACTTGTCATTTGAACAATAACAAGGATTCAGTGCTCACACATAAATATCATTTTTCACATCAAATGCGACATGAATTGTAATTAATTTTAAACTTAAGTATACCATTTGCAATTTAATACAGTCTAAAATAACCACTTTAGATCAAAAGTGTGGCCCCGATTTGTTTCGTCTACGACGAAATTCAAACCAAAAATTAGGCACGACATGCAGTTAGAGAGCATCAGAAATTGAGTGAAGATGATAGTTTTCGTTGAGATTTAGAGCTCGTAACAGCCGTAATAACAACTACTTAAAATGTTGAATCCGCAACTAGTTTATCCTTTTCGACCGATTTACAAACACGTTTGTGTTGTGGGTGGATCTCTCTCTCTCCCTCTCTCTCTCTGTTGTGTAACCGTGTATACAAAACACACATGTCAAATTCGAATTCATCTGTTTATTGTCCTTGGTATCGCCAACATATCCTTCAACGTAATAATCCTTTTCCTTTTTTTTACAAAACGAACAAAAAGAAACAAAAAAGTAGAAATGACACCGAAAACCAATACATCATACACATTTTGCTCTGTATGTCTTTTTCGAATTGTTGTTTGGCATTTGTTTTACTATTGCAATGAATAATAGTTGACGGTTTTCCACATTCACATTCACCAATACATATGGCAATCACAACTGAATGTGAATTTGTATCATTTCAATGGCGAATACACGTCGAAGCATGTGTGCCGGGCTACATGTGCGGTTTTGTTGGAATGATTAAGTGCTTTCCATTCTAAGTATATAAATGATTATGGATTAGATAGGCTGAAGTGAATACATGACATGACATATTCAATTTCCAATATCATCTCATTCATTTTTTTTTGCTTTCATCTTTCATCGTCTTTCGAAATTGTTTACTTTTCAGATTAAATTTTTCTTTTCGTCGGTTTTGCCCAAATTTCATCTCGATTCCATATTGACATATCGTGTGATATTGTTGATTTTATTCAGTAATTTCCAACGCCGTGCTGATGCGAATAGCACTTGTGGGAGGGGTGTACAATTTAGCTACTGTTCGTCGTGTGCCTGTCAATAAAATGGCCAAAAATTGCTGGATTGAATTACATTGATGTAATGTGTCATGTTAATCATTAAAATTGAAGTAATGTACACAGCACACACTTCACTCTCACAAATTTGGTTACCACATTTAATGAAATTACAAATGTTCGACGCATGCTTTCGATAATTTTCTTTTTGGTTGTTATCATGTTCATTTTGCGTTTTGTCGTTAACATTTTCGAATACAATAAGAATATAGCGGAGAATAGTGGTTCGAAAATGTCAAAATCATCATCAAATCAATATAATCGTTTACGAGTATTAGCACAATGGTAAGCTAGTGGTCGACCTTGTTTGATGGCAAAGTGTGTGAATACACTCACACAATTCAGTGAGAAATATTGATTTTGCGATCGATATACAATAAAGTCGTTGCTATAAGAAATTCGAATTCGGAAAAAAATGTGTGTTTCACTTAATTATCAGTTTTCGAAATGAACTTAATGAAGTGCATTACGAAGCGGCAGAGCATGAATAAAACAAAACTTTCTAACCATTTTCAACACATACATGTAACACAATATCTATTTTGAGTGCATTCCGTTCAGAAATTATGCGTGTGTTATTTTATCTTCACCTCCGTGGTGTCTGTTCCGTTGTTTTGTTTCAAGTGAAGATGCTTTTGTTATTTTTGCTCACAGTACGTGCCTTCCTCTCTTCAAAAAATAAATATGATGAGGCACAATCAGCTATAAATAAAGACCACAATGAGTCTTCTTTTTTTTAAAATTTGGTGGTTACCGGCCGACCAATTCTAATTACGAAAGAATTGTTTGACTATTGAAAGTGACACTTTGCATATATGAAGGGATTCATTCACGCAGAAAATATGTCATAATTCCATTTAGATTTGTCATTTGGATTTTGAGATCGAAACCCATTGAGACGTGCTCGTGTATGCAATATAGCTTTAAAAAAAACTTCATATATTTCTATTGTCATCTATAAAATATTGTGAGATTTTTTTTGCCGCCACCGCTGATAGTGCTGTTGCTTTAACAATTGTTATCCATGTGTAGTATTGAATTATTAACACTCACATGCATTCGATCATTCGTTCGAAGGCAATAAAAATAAAATATTTGTTCTTTCGTCCATTTGGAGCGCATTTTTTTAAAAGAACAAACGTTCACAGTCAATATACTCGATATCACCGTGGTATACCTACAATTGATTTGAAATGTCATCTCTAGATGTCACTAAAAATGCACCCAACAACACAACGAACTGGCCGTATTGCAAGTTGTAAATTCAATTTTCTCATTTTTCAACTTTTGCTTGTTACTCGTACACAGCACATTCACTTGCGCTCATTCAGTGAATAGTGCATTTCAATTTGTTTGTGTGGCGTACTGTATTTCTAGATGGGACGATATGCTAAATTAATTGAAAAGTGCAAGTGTGGTTGAATTGCAATATATACATGAATGTGGGACCAGAGCATACATAGAAAATGAGCATGAGTTATGCGGCAAAGATGGGAATTACGAGAAGAGTTGCTATTCTGACCAATGTCCTATTACACAATGAGGCTATGATTAGTTTGAATTGTTCAGCACCGGTATGGAAAGAGTTATAGCGATAGAATGAATGTTTATTATATGAGAAAGAATGAACAGAGAACAATATTATGCACCAATACCGAACATAAATAAGTAGAAGGCGAAATAAACACAAAATTCAAATGCTTTAATACAATTATAATGAGGTTTTGTATTCCAGTTGTTTTCGAATGCTTCGACTGTTTTAAAATAGATGTGGATTTGAGAGCGGTTTTATTATTGTGGTTTGATTGTGATGATTTCGGACCATTTACATTAGACTATTTGCATCATTTTCTCCGACAACACATCGAATTGACAAAGCCAAAAACAAAAACCCTACAAATTCAATGCGATAATTCGAGATCAGCACCTCAATGGTCTATCATAGTTCATATAATTGCATGCCATTTGATTATTCTATTTTCCAAACAATTTTTATTTTGGAAATTTTCTCACGAGGAAATTTGGTTTATATAAAACAAATCAGCAAAAATTTCATTTTTTTTTTCTTGTATGTCTAATGTGAAAATGTTGATATCATTAGTGAACGAATAAGAGCAAAAAAATGTGATGCTAAAGGATCCATTTTCAAATAGTCAAATCAATGGAAATCTTGATTGTGTTCATCATCATATACTCGCAAAACGACAAATAAAACGTAAACATGGCAATAAATATAAGCGAGCAGAGAATTGATAGCATTTAGATTTACTTGTTCGATGTTGATGAGCCAATAAAGATGATCTTTATAGGCGGAGCCATCGTTTTATATAACTGAAGTAATACGAATATGATGTGACAAGTGTACT